TATGAACCGCACTTTATTGCGCTCGATGACGCCATTAATGGTCAGCTCCCATTGCGACGTTTTCTCGCCAGTTCAAAGCTTTGCCGTTTCTGTGAATGACGTATATCAGTTCTTGGCTGAGTATTTATCGATTTTGCTGCTGTGAGCATGTTTTCAATGTTTAGGTGAGCTCGCCCTCCTCTGGCACAAGCCTGCTAATCCTGCTTATGATGGAGAATGATATCGGAAGAAACAAGGTGAGTATGTGGGACGTCCAATAGTCAGTCAACAGCAATTTAGCTGCGTACTAAAAGTAGTAAATTTGCATTTTTGCATTGTTGCCGCGAATCGAGCGGATGTACAGTACGGCGTTCTGTTCATAGCATGTATCCTCGACGATAATGATACTGACATACTTTACCGTTTCTGTGAAGAAGGTTTATCAGTTCTTGGCTGCGTATTCATCGATTTCTGCTTCTGTGAGTGCATGTTCTCAGACAATCCGAAGGAAAGCTCCGGAGCAAACTGAGCTTTTAGAACTTCCGGAGCGGACGCTGCTAATGGTCCGTGTGGCAAAAGCCACACGGCCATGCCACACGGATCAGTAACAGCATCCGCTCCGGAAGTTTTAGAAGCCCAGTTTGCTTCGGAGCATCCCTTGCGATTGACTGAGTTCTCAATGTTTAGGTGAGCTCGCCCTTCTCTGCGCGAATCTACTACACCTGCTGCGGAATGACGCTTGATTACGGAGGAAACAAGAAGAAACATGATGATAAGCGCAAATATTCCATAGCTGAACTTTCGTTGTTCAAGAGTGGCAAGAGGAAATGCTCAAAATTCGATTATGAAGAAGTAAGGAAGAAGCAGTTGGTGGGTTAGGGGTATTGGACATCATTTTGTCGTCATATCGATCGAGTATATCTTCCGTCTCTCGAATGGCAAGGCGACCAATCAGAGCCCGCCGCCGCCCCTTGGCCCCGCCCCCGGGGTATATAAAGCGGCGGGCCTGAGGTCGCCTCAGTCCAAGCTAACAGTGCGATGGAGGGTATTCGAGTAAAGATAGTGGAGCTGTTTTCGTGCTTCAAGAATATCGATGGGAATACGTCATCTTCAGCGAGGACAAAATTTACAAACTTCTTCGCGAGTGCAAGCCACGGGTCGAGGGCCCCGGGTCGGGGGCCGGGGGTCGGGTATCGCATTTGAAGGAAACGGATCTCCCCCCTGCCAAACGAAGGTAAGCTGGTTGATCACGTCTACTCGTTGACTAATCTTCGCTTTGCAGGTGTTCTCCCCCTCCACCCCGTGCACCCAAACCGCAACCTCTGAAGCCGAGTACCTCTTCTTCTCAGCCAGCCACTATCGAGAGCTCACCCGGGACCGACAACGAAATCGACCGTATTGTGAAAGCTGTTACAGCCGCGCTGAGGAAGGAAAAGTCGGATAAAGAGAATGCAGTATCATTCGATAATATTTTTGACGTTGAATAATTCGAACTTTAGTTCGATGCTCTGTCATGTTGCAATTGCTGTTAATAAAAAATCTGTTTATAGTGTGTACAACAACAGTTTTACCAGGCTGGCAGGTTTAATTTCAGTATCAATCCAGAAGAAAGTTTGCACACATATCTACTCTTCGGGACGGAGTGGGTGTCGTAGGCTACTTTTCGTTATCGATTTCTATCGCAGAGTTCATCTACGGGGCTGGGAGTTGGCAGAGAGGGATAATCGAGCATGGTAACTCAGAATACTATCTTCTTATATATAAAGCTGAATGTCTGTTTGTCTGTATGTATGTTGTCTGTATGTATGTCTGTCTGTCTGTACGTATGTTCTGAATAGAAAATTCCATTTCTGATCCAGACTAAACTTGGCACACATACACTTCGGGCCCCGGCGGGTGTCATAGGCTACTTTTCGTCGTCGATCGATGTCGAATTTATCGATTTTAATCGATTTTTTCGCTGAGTTCACCTGCGGGGCTGGGAGTTGGCACAGGGGGGTAATCGGGCATGCTGATTACGAATACGATATTAGTTTTTGGAACTATCCGCTACATTTATCAATTTTATCGATTTTTTTTGCAAAGTTTGAGCTACGGGGCTGGGAGTTTGCATAGGGGGGGGAGGTAATCGAGCATGGGAATTCCGAATACAATATTAGTTTTTAAGATCGTCTACTACTTTTATCGATTTTTTCGATTTTTTGCAAAGTTTGAGCTACGGAGTTGGGAGTTGGCATAGGGGGTAATCGAGCATGCTGATTACGAATACTACATTACTTTTTGGAATTATCCGCTACATTTATCAATTTTATCGATTTTTTTGCAAAGTTTGAGCTAGGGGCTGGGAGTTTGCATAGGGGGGGGGGTAATCGAGCATGGGAATTCCGAATACAATATTAGTTTTTAAGATCGTCTACTACTTTTATCGATTTTTTCGATTTTTTGCAAAGTTTGAGCTACGGAGTTGGGAGTTGGCATAGGGGGTAATCGAGCATGCTGATTACGAATACTACATTACTTTTTGGAATTATCCGCTACATTTATCAATTTTATCGATTTTTTTGCAAAGTTTGAGCTAGGGGCTGGGAGTTTGCATAGGGGGGGGGGTAATCGAGCATGGGAATTCCGAATACAATATTAGTTTTTAAGATCGTCTACTACTTTTATCGATTTTATCGATTTTTTGCAAAGTTTGAGCTACGGGGCTGGGAGTTGGCATAGGGGGTAATCGAGCATGCTGATTACGAATTCGATATTAGTTTGGCGCTATTCGGTAATCCGGGCCCCAAAATTTTTTTATGGTAGACCTTGCTCAAACTTCCTGTATAAGGGTTATCTTAAGGGCCGGGCATACTTCAAGCGATTTCAATCGCGACGCGATTTGGCAAAATTCCAGGTGTTCATAACTCATTGTAAGCACATTATAAATGTAAGAAGATAAAGCATTTCATCAGTTTACGTAAGTTATACACACTATGCATGTGAAGTTTGCTAATGTTGGTTCCCAAGACTTCTGGCGAATTGCCAAATCGCCTCGCGACTGAAATCGCGTGAAGTATGCCCGGCCCTTTACATGCTGATTGCAGATATCACACTTTCTCCGCGGAACGTCTTTCCGTGAGGTTACGATAGGTGTACGGTAGGAAATCAAACTCATGAATTCGGCTGGAGTTCGGTCCATATGGCTTATTCGACATGCTAATTACGAATATCATCTCTCTCTTTCTCTGCATATTGCGACCTTTTCATAGGTTTGTGGTGGTTATATGGCATGGGGTCGAAAATATAGATTTGCTTCAAACTTCGTCTAGGGTGGTCATTTAGCGTGCTGAACGTGAATATCATGCTGATTTCGCAGATAGTGCATTTTCTTGGGTTACGGTGGGTGTAGATGGGTCGAAGTTCCAGATTTGTTCAAAAGCTTACCTGTAACGGTTTACAAGTATATCGCTTATGAATATGATGCTTGCTCGCTGTCATAACGCAATAGTGAAGTCATGGTGAGTTGCAGGGTTTGAATGGACATTTTTTCGCTTCCGGGCCAATTTAGATCCCAGATTGGGGAAACGGTCGTTTTTCATGGCGGTCTCCAGCGCCATCCTGATAACCTATCCCAACGCGTAACGCACGCGGCAAATCTCCCTTTCCCTGTTCTTGCTTAGGCAAAAGCCGCCGAAGGGTGTCTTGCGCGCGGCAGTGGTCCTATAAGGGAAAGCATTACGGTCGCGGGAAACTTTTAAACCACACGAATTGCCTTTATCGTGGGGATTTAGCTCGATGTTCTTGAAACAGCATTTTAGGTAATTTTCTGCCAAGGTTTCAAGCAGGTTCATGATTTTTAGCCGCTGCCATGTACCTACCCTACCGTAACTCTGCGAAAAGGTCTTAAAACGCAACGAGTGTGTTTTAGACGTGGTCAGAAGGTCGAATTTCTCTAGACCGGGTTTCAGCAAAACTGAGATTTCGCCCATCTGCAGTATACCTATCATAACTCAGTGAAATCGCCTCAAAATGCCGAAGGAGTATGATATTTGTAATCAGCATGTCAATTAGCCCCCCTTCCCCTCAAAGTTTCAACGGAATCCATGACTGCTTTTTACACGTGTACTCACTCATTGTAAACCCAGAAAATGGCGCTGTCGCGCGAAATGACTACGATATTCGTCATCAGCGGCTTTAATAATCCCCATGTAGACTCTGAGCAAGATCCATCACAAAAACATTTTGGGGGCGGATAGCCGAATAGCGCCATCAGCTTTCAGAATTATCCTTACTTTTACCGGTTTTATTTCTTTTTTTGCAAAGTTTGAGCTCCGGGGCTGGGGGTTGTTGAGGAAGGTAGGTGGGCATGCTAATTATTAACACAGCGAGAATAGGGAATTGCATGTAGAAGTGGGCACATGAAAGGTTCTGCAAGGATAGAGATAAAACCTTAATCATAATAGCATTGACAGGGCCGGGCGGAGCCGGGTAAGCTAGCTAGTCTTATATATAGAGCTGAATATCTGTTTGCATATTTTTCTGTACGTCTGATGTCTGTCTGTCTGTACGTATGTTCCGAATAGAAAATTCCATTTCTGGACCGATCCGGACCAAACTTGGCACACATACACTTCGGCCCCGGCGAGTGCCATAGGCTACTTTTCGTCTTCGGATATCGATTTTATCGATTTTTTTGCAGAGCCCACCTACGGGACTAGGATTTGGCACAGGGGGTAGTCAAGTATGCTGATTTCTAAAAGAGCGGTGAGGTTTGCCTTAAACGAGCACTAGTTTTTACCGGCTGGGTTATAGGCGCTGCCATCTAGGCAGCGGTAAGTACCGCCCTGCCTGTCGCGGAGCAGCAGTGTCCTCGCAGCCTGCAATGGCTGCGGAGTAGCGGCCGCTCCGCCGGTTTGCAAGAGCAGCAATGACTGATTTGAAGAACCGGCTGTGGCTCGGTAAGTCCTCGGTCTTCCTCCTTTGCGTCAGTGCCGCTCTCCTCAGACTCTTTTTTCGTTTCACGTTTCACAATTCGGTCATCATGCGTATAAATTGACCGAAGGTAGGTTCCAGGAATCAATGCTTGGACTGGTAGTTGGCTGGGTGGTCGGCTCAATTTCTGCCTTTGTAGTAGGTGGTGGTGGCGGTGGAGCGTATCTGTAACGATAGCAATGAGATGAGATTGTAAAACAACAAAATGTTCACATCTTACCTGCGTTTTGGTACAAAGTTTTCTTCGTTGGTCACCATCGGTCGCATAGGAGGCCTCCTGTAAATGATATTGACACGGACTGGACATCGCTGTTAGCATTACGCTGCAGTGATGAAAACAAGTTTTACCAGCTCACCTCTTGCGGGTAGCAGGATGTGCTTTGGACGGCTGCGGGCGGTTTGCATTGCTCGAGGACTTGCTCAAATTCATCACATTCAGGGGGCATTTTCGTCGACGACGAGGTATAGTCGTCCTCACCCCACTAGTCGGTCGTTGGACGAATTCGAATTCGAACTAGAGCAGGCAGGTCGCGGCAGAGCACGGCACCTTAGCTCTCCGTTCAAATTCACGCATTCACTTTGCGTATTTCTTCGCCATTGCTTAGCAGTTTTGTATTGTTACAACATTTTTGACCGATATTGAGTTTTTGTAAATGCTGAGCGTTGTCTCCTGCCGCGCTTTGCCGTGACAGGCCTGCTCCAATTCAAATTTGAATTCGTCCACCGACCGACTAGTGGGGTGAGGGCGACTATATTCGCCGTCTGACTTTTGCCGTCCTGGGAGGATTGCCTTGGGCGCTACACCAACCGTTTTTGCCGGCTAGAGGGCACTGATCTGGCAATCCAAACTGAACGTAAATCGTGTGCATCCCATCGGAGTCCTTTAAGGCGCGAGGCGTATACTTCATATGGTTAGGCTTGGGCTCTATCTCTGTTTGTGTGGTCAGACAAACAGAGATATAGCCCAAGCCTCTCCCGTACGAATTTTTAATCTGGACTGATCCGGACCAAACTTTGCACTCATACACTTCGGGGCTGGGCGGGTATCGTAGGCCACTTTTGGTCATCGATCAATATCGATATCGATTTTTTCGCAGAGTTCACCTACGGGGCTGGGAGTTGGCACAGGGGGGTAATCGAGTATGCTGATTACGAATACAACATTAGTTTTTGGAATCATCCATTACTTTTATCGATTTTATCGATTTTTCGCAAAGTTTGAGCTACAGGGCTGGGATTTGGCAGAGGGGTACTCGAGCATGCTAACTACGAGTGCAATATTAGTTTGGCGCTATTCGGCTATCCGGGCCCCAAAATTTTTTTGTCATAGAGCTTGCTCAAACTTCGTGTACAAGGGTTATTTTACATGCTAACTACACATATCACACTTTCTCCGCAGGTCTCCCCGTGTGGTTACGATAGGTGTGCGGTAGGAAGTCAAAATCATGAATTCGGCCGGAGTACGGTCTAGAGAACTTATTCGGAATGCTGATTACGAATTTCATACACTCTCTGCATATTGGGACTTTTTCATAGAGTTACGGTGGTTATACGGTATGGGTTCAAAAACATAGATTTGCTTCAAACTTCGCCTAGAGCGGTCATTTAGCGCGCTGAACATGAATATCATGCTGATTACGCAGAATAGTGCATTTTCTTGGGTTACGGTGGGTGTAGATGGGTCGAAGTTCCAGATTTGCTCAAAATCTCACCTGTAACGGTTCACAAGCATACCGCTTATGAATATGATGCTTACTCGCTGTCATAACGCATTATTGTGAAGTTATGTGAGTTGCAGGGTTTGAATAGACATTTTTTCGCTTTCATCCTGATGACCTGTCCCAACGTGTAACGCATGCGGCAAATCTTCTTCATTCTGTTTTTGCTTAGGCAAAAGCCACCGATGGTGTATCGCGCGCGGCAGTCCTATAAGGAAAGCATTACGGTCGTGGGAAACCACACGAGTCTTTTTCGTGGGAATTGAGCACGATATTCTTGAAACAGCAATTCAGGCAATTCCCTGCCAAGGTTTCAGGCAGTTTTATGACTTCTACCCGTTGCCACGCGATGACAACGATATCCGTCATGCGGCTCAAATCCCCATATACCGAGTTTGAGCAAGATCCGTCACAAAAGCATTTTGATGCCCGGATAGCCGAATAGTTTTTAGAATTTATCAATTTTTAGAATTACCCGTTATTTTATCGATTTTATCGATTTTTTGCAAAGTATGAGCTCGCAGATGGAGGTTAGTGAGGAAGTTAGGTGAGCATACCGGTTACTAACACAGCGGGAATAGGGAATTGCATGTAGAAGTCGGCACAGGGAAAGGTTGCACAGGGGGTAGGAATGGAACCTTTGTCGTTTTTGACAGAGCCGGGTAAGCCAGCTAGTAGGATAATGAGTAAGAATTTTTATTTTTTAATTTTCATTGCAATTGCTTCCTTTCCCCTCCCCCCTACTGCAACATGTTATCAAGAAATCTGCTGTACCTGTGGTTCCGCGAAGCTTTCTAAAAAACTCAAAATTGTTAGAGTGGCCCACACTAGAGATCTAAAAGTTTATTGCGAATTTACTTTTACGTTCTCGTTTTAGTGATGTGTAGCACAATCTGGCAATAGATTAGATGCGTCAACGAACATTATTTAATAGTCACTATACTGGCCCCCACATGTACGTTTCTGACTGCCTTTCTCACTGCTTACGTAACTCCAAGCGATCACAAATGATTTATTCATGTACCTCGTTACCGCAAAATAGGCAATTAAAAGTAGTAGCAAAATTCTAGGACCTCGAATCTAAACTTGAAATATCTCGCACCTGCCTGCCAATCTTTGATTTTTTTATTTTACAAGAAACTGTACAATGAGGATATTGCCTACATCAACGTTATCATAAAGTAATCAGTATTACAAGTTATTTCAACTATTCTTTTCAAGCTATGCCCACTTTTGTCTCCTCTCACCTGGTCAATCGGTATAAATGATTTATAAAATGTTTTGCTGACTTGCATGGTCTCCAAAAAATTCAGAGATCTATAGGTTATTCTAACTGTAATTCAAAATTTTATCTATTGAACATAATGGCGTACTGTCCATGCACACCTGAACAGATTCTCTGTCCCGAAAAGTGCTTTACTTTACAGTAAGTTGCCCCTTCATCAAAATAGTGCTGACAGATTCTGCCAACATTCCTGCTGCGGCAGACATGACACAACCGAAAATCGCAGTCTACGTGAAAACTGTATATTTTCGTAAGACATCTTCAAAATTTGTTAGTTAAGATTGGAAGTTGTATATATAGTTTTATTGCTTTTAAGCGCAAGAAAATGGCATTATTACCTTTTTGCACACTGCAACCTTGAAATTGGAGCAAAATCGCTCTAAACGATGTTGATGAGCTAGTCTGCAAATATATAAAACAACAATGCAATATCATCAACTCCGACTGTTCTTTAATCTTGGCATAGATATGAACGATGTCGTATGATGTTGAGCAACACGACCAAGATGGCAACTTTTCTTTATTAACTTCGGCCAACGTTTCGGCGCAATCGCCTTCGTCAGAGCCTAGAAAGTCGAATACATAAGAATCCCATTCCTCAGACGTCAACGAAGAAGCAAGATAATTCAATTGGAAGCTAGTACGAAGGAAAGAAACAGAGCCACGGCTGAGCAATACTCACCTTAATCGTTGCATAGGGGGTACGAGGGACCACCAACTATGCAATAACTATACCTCTGCCCTATTTATAGTAATGAGGTGACCTGACCTAGCCTCAGAAACCGCAAAGGGCCTGATATGGCGCGAGTTCGTTGGTTATTGCAATACACTCCTCCTTCCGGTTCATTTTTGGATTTTTAGCGCTGATCCAAAACGCTTCCAAAGTCTTGCGCGATAGGACTTCGGGTTCATAGGACAAAATCGAGACCCCAATTTGTATTTCAGCATTTTCGTGTTGCCGTAAGCGATGACTACCGAGCGGTGTACTGGTCCTTGACTTGTTCAGTCCATCCAGATGTTCCTTAATGCGACAGCAAAGCGGGCGCCCTGTTTCGCCTATGTACGTGTCGCCACATGATAGACATGTGATGATGTATATCGCGCCTGCCACCATACAGTCTCCCTCTCTACCGAATGGACAAACTACACAGCCTGGAGTCAAGCAATTCCGATCATACGCTCTATTCCTGACCAATTGCCTCTTTAGGTTGGGCGGCGGAATATCGACCACTCTAAGCGCGTCTTGCAAACCCGCCTGATATACGCATCGCCGCACCGCGCTGCTTATATAGTCCGAGATGAAGGGCATGCAGAAAGGAATCTTATCCGTGGCGTCTTCCAAGCGAACTCTACTGCTTACAAAAGTACGCGTACTAGGAGTACAGCTACTTGTTGTTTACCCATTTGACCTGGCTATTTGTTTGGCTAATGCTAAAGAGTAGGAACGCTCCTGGACACCCGATGAAACTCCAATAGCCGTTCGACACATGTTTCCAATCACGGACTGCTTGACTTTCTTTGGATGCGCGGATAAGTAATGCACTAAAATGTTCTTGCAGCTGGGTTTGCGGTACCACTTTGTTCTATAATCGCCTCGAGATACATGCACTTGTACATTGAGGAACGGTAGCCATTGATCGCAGGGTTTCTCCCGTGTAAACTTGATGCGCGAAAATTGTTGATTGAGCAGATCGAAGCAAGCATCCATCTCGTCCTGGGTTGGACAGATGATGAAGCAGTCGTCTATATAGCGACAATACAACAATGGCTTCCTAGTAAGCACGGGAGATTCTACTTTAGACATGAAGATAATGGCTAATGTAGGCGCAAGGCGTTGCCCCATCGCTAGTCCTCTGACCTGTTTGTAATAATGACCTGACCAGCGAAATACGTTACAGTTCAAGCATTCGCTTACAAGGGTCATTATACTTCTGACTGAAAAACCGTACAGGCTGAGAGAGGACTGATGTTCCAGTAGAATTTCGTAAATAGCTTCCAGCGCAGCATCATTTGAAACATTTGTATAGAGTGAAGTGACATCAAATGATTCTATCACACACTCTGGGGTCAATTGCGTGCTGCGAAGCCGCTCGAGGAGTATGCCGGTGTTTGATAAGTGAGCTGAAACGAACTTCAACAACTGAACAAGTATGATGTTAAGAAACCATGCAATTCTATCAGTGGGACCCGCAACGCCGCTTATCATTGGTCTAACTTTGAAGTCGCACGGGTTATTGGAGCTAAGACCTCCCGCGGGGAGTTTGTGCGTTTTTATGAGAGTATAGAGTACGGGACAAGTTGGTAAATCGCTCTTTAGACGCGAGATGAGACTTTTGGGAAACCCAGAAGAGCGAGCTATGTCGGTCCACACTCTATTGAGACGGCGATATTGCCTTCCAAAC